AGGCCCCGCGGGCGGCCAAATGGCATCCATTCGATGCCGCACCGCTGCGCTGCGCTTCTCTCACCTCATCAGCGAGGGCCGGGAGCGCGGGGCCGCGGGGGCAGACAATGGGTCGGGTCCGTGCGAGGGGCTCTCCGCCGGGCTCCGCCGGGCCCAGCCTGATTGGCTGCCCATACCACACATCACGGTAGGCCTCGCCGCGGCCCGGCCCGAGCCCCGCACCGACCCAAGGGCCGGCCGGCCCCGGCCGGCCGAGGAGGCCCAGGCTTAAAACAAAACTCCAAATTGTTTTCAGCCAACAATGTGATAAATCATAATGCAGTGAAATTTATAACTGAGGCCCGGCCTCCAATAAATCAGGGTGTGACAAGCCGACAAGTGGGTGCTCGCTGTACCTGGCGGAGGTGGCGGGGCGCGGCGGCGCTCCGTGTGATGTGATGTGCGGGTGATGCGCCCGGCCGAGGCGCTGATGTGCGACTCTATGGGCCACGCGCGGCCCGCCAGGACCAGGCTGTCCTGAACTATCGTGTTGCCATTTTGTGGCCGCGAGATATTCCGCTTCGACATGATACTAAGTTGCAAGCACAGAAACAGTGAATACTTGAGTTTTTTTTCGTTACAAAACAGAAGTATTTGAATTTCGTAAAACATCTTTGTCACGTGAGCACTATCACGACAATTTCTCATGGAAAAGCTGAAAATGTCTGTTTTTCCTATGAATTTATTTTCTGAAGTTTGGTTGGGTGCTATTTGACCACAACACTAAAAATCAGACCCAAAAATCGGTGCAACTTAAGTAAATTTCATCTCTGTATAACACTCGGAGACGCGCCGCGTTTCGTATTGTTCTGTTGCTTGAATTCATCATGAGAGACCATACATGTGGTTGATAGGAGGATCCCACACTCCGTGTGCCGCCACCGCACCGGTCTGATCGACAAGCCTGGCCCACGCCGAGCGAGCGGGGGTAAGGCGCGCTGCTCGTCGCGTCTCTGGAAGGGTTAATATCCTCCGGGATGGAGAATTAATCTAGACGAGACAGTCCATGCATCCCCGCCACCACCACCACCTGCACCCCGACCCGGCCGGGCCCTAATGGCGTCCAGCCTCGGCCCGGCCTCGGCCCGGCCCGGCCTCGGCCCGGCCTCGGCCCCAGTGCTATGTGGGAAACTGTGTTTGCATAATAATGTGTTTTCTTTATGGCCGCCCTGGATGAGCGGCAGAGCGGCGTTCACTTTCAGATTTATTGAACGAAAATTTCGGTCGATCGAGACGACCGACCATGAGGAAGGGGAAGAGCAGGGATCGTGTATACACGATAAAAAGCATTGTGTATGGTTTTCAGGTTATTTCAGTTCGCCTTCCTTAAAAGAAAATCTCAGAAACATCTTTGAAGTTGTATAAACTAAAATAAAGGCTCGGTGTCTCTCGGGTCATTTTTCCGGGCGCTACTCAGATTTAAACAATAATTGTCTCGATCACACGGTGTGTATTGCTTCTGCTCTGAAACATTTTGGTAATTTTGTATCGGATCGGCCAGGCGTTGGGACTAGTGGGCAAACTATAGTCCGCCCGCAACCAGGCGAGGCGCCTTACGGCTTCGAGTGCATAGGCAACCCGATCGCACGCCTGGCGCGCGGGTTAGTATACCCACTCGCTCCGACGGCGCTAGCTGTGTGTGTGTGTGTGTGTGTGTGACCACACTGCGATGCGTGGCTTCCGCGGCGTCGCATGGTACCCACTTGAGGCGCGTTACCTGCCGGGGTACCAGGGCTCGGTGCGGCGGGAGGGCTCGACCGCATAAATCATTCAAATTACGTGGTACTCGTTAACTTGCTGGACCCCCTTCCCCCTCTCTCTCCCCTCCTCTTTTCAGGACCATTAAAGCACATTCATTTCGTTGCGAAAAAAATTAATAAGAACTACATTAAAAGCAGATAAAAAAAAACAACCCCAAAAAACGTTAGTGAGGCAACAGCGAAAGGAGAAGGAAAACAGCAACGAAGTCTTTTCGTGTTTCCTTTTTTCTTAATTTCCGCCAACAAAAGCGGCTCAAAGAACGAGACTGCGCGTGCGTGCGCCGGACCAAGGGCTTATTACTTCTCGTCGCCTTTCCTCACCTTTTGTCTGCCTCCATCATAAAGACGCGGATCCATACGAGTGAGTGGGGAAGGGAGAAGATAGGGGGGCGGATTCAGATCTTTCCTCTTCCTCCTGCCCCCCCCCCCC